GATGAGATTGCTCTTTCTCTTACTCAAAGTCTTCACTATCAAATTGAAATGATGTTCTATGCCTCCTCCTTTGCTCACAAACATCAAGATTTTTTTTGAGTATGCCACAATCTACTCTTTGTTGTAACCTGTTGAACATATAGTATTAAGTTGTTCTACACATACAAAGTTAACAAAGTCAAGTTTTTTTCATTGTGAATATTTTATTTGAAGTGTATATGCAGAAACTTTCAATCTACTTTTTACTTTCATTTAATTTTTCATTGCTTTGATATTTATTTTGCATAAATATTAGATCTATTATATATGGCAGCCCATTTTTTTTTGCTTTCTGGGTCACACCCAGTGATGCACAGGGGTTATTCCTGACTCTGCACTCAGGAATTACTCTTGGGGTGCTCCGGGGACCACATGGGATGCTGGGAATTGAATCTGTGTTGGCCACACGCAAGGCAAACGCCTTACCCACTGTGCTATCACTCCAGTCCCTGGCAGCCCATATTAAGATGATGTGTTGCTCTTTTCTTTCTTTAGAATCCTTCTTCTCTACCCTTTACCTATTATTTCCTTTCTTCTTATTCTCAACGCAACCCTTTACACAATAAGTACTTCATTGATTCTCTATTTTTCCTGCTTCAAAGTCTCATAGGCTCATGTATCACGGTCACGGTCCTCCCGTTGTTCATCAATTTGCTCGAGCGGGCCAGGTAACGTCTCCATCGTGAGACTTGTGTGTTTGGCATATTGAATATGATACTCTCGGTAGCTTGCCGGGCTCTCCGAGAGGGGCGGAGGAATCGAACCTGGCTGTGCCGAGCTGGCTGCATGCAAGGCAAATGCCCTACTGCTGTGCTGTCACTCCAGCCCAAGACATGAGTCTTGAGGCTCATGTATATCCTCTATCAAATACTCATCTAAATGATAGAATTATATCTGCTTAGATGAAGATTATATCAGTGCTTCTTTCCCTCACCAGACAACAAGCTCAAGTTTTTTCTCACTACATTCCCCATGTCCAGCACAAAGCCTGGAACATGGTAGCCACTTAATAAGTGTTTGTTGAATAATAAATTTCCTGAGGTCACAGATGCCTTTTTTATGTTTTAGACCTATCTGATTGCTTTATTACTTTACTACTGTTTTTCACAAAGTTCAGTGTATAGTAAATTAATAGATAAATAAGGAAGTCTAATGTGCATCTGCATTAAAATCGTTTTCCAAAATCATAAGTAATGATTTCACATCTAAAGTTAAACCCTCTTTGAAAAGAATAGCTTATTCTAAACCTATCTCAATCAACTATAGCAATAGAGATAATAAACTTTATATACTGCAGTATCATCAAAATAGGAGTTTCAATGAAATCTAAAATCTGTGTTTATAGCTTATGGGAAAAATGTGACTTTGAGCTCTGTAATAGTTTACACTGTATCTAAGAAATAAGAATAATTGACTTCGCTCAAGATTAAAAAGGGAAATGAAGAGTCTATTAAAAGTTGTTGCTGTTTATTTACTTGTCAATATTTACACATTTTTAAAAAACTTACTTTAAAAATGATCTTGACTTTTTTTCTTTTTGGGTCACACCCGGCAGTGCACATGGGTTACTCCTGGTTCTGCACTCAGGAATTACTCCGGAATTACTCCTGGTGGTGCTCAGGGGCCCATATGGGATGCTGGAAATCAAACCTGGGTTGACCACATGCGAGGCAAACACCCTACCTGCTTTGCTATCACTCCAGCCCCTAAAAATGATCTTGCTTTTTCTTATGAAAAACTCATTTATATTTTTTTCCATGGAGTTGACTGGATTTGATCCTCGGAACCACATCTGGTTTCCTGAGCACTGCCAGCACTTGCCCTGAGCACAGAGCTAAGAATAGATTGAGCGCTGCAGTGTGTGACCTCAATTCCAACCTTCTCCCCAAAAGCTCATTTAGTTAATACAATTACACTTATTATACCAAATTACATATTCATTATAAAGTTTGAGTACCTCACAACATTTATTAAAATTAGATCCAGCTTGCCAAGAGTTTCTATATTCTATTCATTTCTCTTTCTCTCTCTCTTCCTTTCTTGCTTTCTCTATTCCTCAGATCAAAGAAATTGAAGAATTTAATCCAAGACCATTCTAGTACTATTTCCTATCATTTTACTCTCTAGTACTTCAAGTTTCTCCTTTTCTCTCTTTAATTATTTGAGAGCTATTTGTTCTGTTCTTTCAGTTCTCCACTCATACTGAAGTTGAAAACTCAGATTTTCCAAAATCTTCATAGAAACTGAATAGCTATACCACATTAAGTAATTGTTTTCATGGCATTCAATTTGTATTCTTTGTATTATGTATGAAAATTTACCATCATTGCATTTAGTTGCTATTGTCTATCAGAGCTTTAACCTATCAGCACCCAACAGAATAAACACCAAATCTGTCTTGTTGCTCCAATAATCTTGATGGCTAATTAGAGTCAGTGGTCAAAAACTATAAAATAAGTATCACTTATGAAATAGATGAGGTTTCCCCATTAGTGTGGCAGATTGTGATAAGGACCAGTGAGAGGAAGAAAAATTACTGAAGGCTCTCATTTCCTAATCCAGTATTTCCAAATAGAAAACAAGAATTTTATCTTAGCAGAAACACTCAAAAACCTACACTGTCATATAAGAAATGGATTAATATGTTACAAATGCTGACCATATGGTAAAAAAAATTGAAAGCAGAGAATAAGTTGAGAAGGTCATATATGGAAGCATCTTTGGTCTTGAATTTGTACCTTCTTCACCATTCCACTGTGCTTTGGCAAACAGCTAAAAAAAGAATCTTATATAGCAAATAGTACAGTTAAGCATGAGGAACACTTGCAAGATCTGGGCAGGGAGTGTGTCAGCTGTCGCTGAGAATATGATTCCTCAGCTGTTGTCCTTTTTCCCCCCTTACAAGTCTTGTCACATCATCTTACAAAAAGTAGAGGTCAAGAAAGAAATTTCATATTTATTCTTATTATCATATTAAATTATTCAGAACTCTACTTCTAGAAGGTCTCTAGATTATTTTTTCAGTATTATCTTCTTTCTCTGTATGTAACTAATAATTACTTAATAAGTGACATATGAATTGTTTACAATGACTCTTAACATTTAAAAAAATCACTGCAGTGCTCTAAGTGATGATTTGTTTCCATTTCTTTTATACACCTATACAGACCAAACACAAAGAAACTTAACCATAAAAGAACCTTACTCCTTTTTGAGATTTCAAGATCCATTTTTTAATAAAAGTTTCAGTTCTTGTTTTGAAGAAAGTTTTCAACTTTGTAATCATTTCATATTTACAGAAACATTGAGTTCCCCACATACTTTACCCGTAATTTCCTCTGATGATAATGATTAAATGAACAAATGTCAATATAACATTTTCACTAAGGAGCTAAAGAGATTTCCTCAAATCTTACCTTCTGTTCCATTTTCATGCTAGGACACTGCATTACATTAATTTATTGTGCTTTCTAAGACTCACATAACTTGGGACTTAGAATTTTCGCTTTTAAAAATTTTTGTTAAGGGAATTATAAAATGACGTCCCTCAGTTTAGTTTTGATTGGTGTTTTTCTTACATCTGGACTAGATTTCAGGTTTGGGGGAGGGGACTATCAAACAATATCATAGCCACATGGTCAAGGTTAATATTCACAGTAAGGTGGAGTTGCCAGCATATACCCTTAGGAAAGGTGCTTATGCACGACATATTCTCCTCTTTAAATTCATAGTTGGTACCACAAAGGAGTTGATATATATTGCAAAATCAAACTACCTCTTTCTTTATATGAATTAATATGTTTTAATTTCAATATTTTGCTCAGATACAGCAAACATATGAATATGCATACATAGAACTTTTTTAGATGCTCATATATAAATGTTTAAGTGTACTCCTTTTAAATCTTAAATCCCAAACCAAATACTTAAAAAATCTATTTAATAACTACACAGCAGTTAAATTTATTACAATAATTAAATTTTATTACAGAACAGGTAAGAATAATACATTGTATAACCTTATGCCTCTTAATATGAAAATCTAGGCTTACAAAAAGAAAAAGTCATTACCAAAAAAATAAAAATTTCAAATTACCAAAACTTGTACATCTTAATAATTAAAATAACTTCTCTATTGAAAAATATTGAGAAATATTTCTCTAGTGAGGGAAGCTTAAATTTTAACATTCTAGTAGTATTTGAAAATGAGTGATAAGTAATTAGAATTTATGCCATTAAGAAACTTAGTGGAAAAGTATCCATTTTGGCCTAAAGTCTGTTTACCATAGTAAAGTTGCCTAGCAAAATGTTTAGTTTTATGTCATTTTCCTTTCCATCTGCCTTTCTTCATCATAGAAAGGAAACTAGTAGGAAGTAGTTTTGATTTTGGTGGTGTTTTTTTTTTCTCGGTATACTGTACAACACACACGAACAGTAGAGTTTGTGCTTGCTAGAAGGGAAATTAAGACTAGACGGGGACTTTCCTTATACGTCCCCTGTTTATTTTTAAACACTACCACATCTTTGCTGACCAACGTTTTCCTGCAAATTATGGAAAGAGGGAGGAGCATGAGCAAAGGCTGGGTGAAAGTTGGTGATCCTCCCTGCCAAACGTCCAAGTTGAAATCAAATCCTTCAGTAGTTTCTTAGGCATGGAAAAAAAAAAGATTTACAACCTCAGCAGAAGTGTAATTCTACCAAGAAAAAGTATCAATCTACTTTACTGTCACCACAGGATCTGAAGCGAGCTTTGTCCTACAACTTTCTCCCTTATATATGGAGGTGAAAAAAACGCAAGAGGAGCTTAAAAAAATTGATGAAGCCCTGACCCTTTAGATTCCATTTATAGTCTGAGCCGGAATGCCATCCCCCTTGACTAGCGAACTGTCCAATCCAGCCGCATGTGTCAAGATTCTATTAGGCACTAAGTGAAATATATATGCATGCCCTTATACCATGTAACACTCTGGACCCACCTTCACGACTCTGGGCTCTTGATCAACCGAACCAGCACTCCTCTTCCAAGAATCATTTTGACAGGTTCTTTTTGAAGGTGCTCTTCTTTTTTTAACCCATCCTTTTAAACAAAAATGGCACCAAAGAAGGAGGTGAAGAAACCCGCAGCGGCGGCTGCCCCAGCCCCGGCTCCTGCCCCCGCCCCAGCCAAACCCAAAGAAGAAAAAATTGACCTCTCTGCCATTAAGGTAACGAAATGGGTGAATTGTTTGGTCACTGAAACATCTTTCAACAGTAAAGAACTCTAGGAACTTGCAGACGAATAGATTTTTTTCATTGAGGGAAATATGAAGTAGTATTACTGAATGAACGGGTTAATTTGAGAGTAGAGTTCTTATTTAAAAATAAAACTCAAACATCATCTGAGCAAAATAATTGTGAACATGGCATTGTGTGTAAACCTGGATTTGTTCATTTGCTCCATTTTTTCTTTCTTCTCTGTTGTTCTTTTCCTCTTAAATTGTGAAAAAAATGTAAGGAAAGCATAAAGTACACAAGGAAAAGGATGTTTTATAATTATTTGTTTTGGATCTATTCTATGTGGAAACCTTACTTTAACACTACATCAAAAGGAAAGTTTTAGCCCTGAATAGTTTTCAGTGTTTAAAAACAGCTGATGACCCAGTTGTCCTGATTGTATTTATTTGACAGCTGCTTATATTTCAACTGAAAAGACACTTTTGCAATTCAAATTAATTCCCTCTTCAGTTTTATGTTACAAATCCTAATACTACACCAGATGAGGTCTCGGTGCTTATAATTATGCATTCAAGTGTTTCAGTGACTATAACTGGCATCATGTTTACTTAAGTACAGTCGTTAATTCCGAATGTGTGGGTTGCTTCTAAATGAAACTAAGCCCCTCTCAAATATTAGAAAAATGTTCATTGTATGGCTTTTAATTTTTGTGCTCTTGCATATTGATTTTGAAGTGAGAGTGTGATTGATTTTTGTGTCAACATTTGTTGTGACTAAAGTTCTGCACTGATGAAAGATTATCTGATTTTAGTAAAAGGTGCAATGTATGGACTGATTACTCTCAATGATGTGATCCCTCAAATGTGCACCATTCCCTCATTTTCTGGGATCTCATTGGTTCAAAGGACAGTTTGAAAATCATCTTCTAAACAACCTTCCTTATATGGAAATTAAAGGGTGAAAGTTCCTATGAGGTTATCTTTTTTGCATAAGCCAAAAGTTTTGTACATAATAAATCTGAATTGTACTAACAACATTATTTCCTTGCAATGATAATGCTAAAAGTCAACATTTTAATCACTTTTATTATAATCATAGTTTTAATATTCCAGACGTAAATGTTATTAGATCATCCTTAGATATTTTCATGGAAGTTAAATAGATGATTCACAATTCTATAACTTTCTAACTAATCATAAAATTTTATGTTTCAGAGTACAAGTTGCTTATTACACTATTTTATCATAAGTATGCAGGTATCTGAAGTCATATGTGAGAAAAGTTGATAATAGAATCAAATACTTATTTAAAACTATTCTTAATGAATATTTCTTTTAGAGGAATATGTTACATTTTAGAACTTTTAATCAATGTTTTTATGTATGAGGACTATATATAATAGAGGAAATCAAAGCTTTAATACCCAACAATGACTTGGAAATTAGTCTATCCTCATAGATTCACATTGACTAAATTATTAAAGAAGGTGGTTACAGACACGACAGTTATTTGAATTGTCTCTATTCTTTGAGTTTCTGATCTATAGCAACACTAGATGTGAATCAGTGTTAAAGCTACCTCTCTTTATACTATTGTGATTTATAAAACAATGTCATCTTTTTTTGTCTGAAATTACAAACATCTGGAAAGCGGAATACTGCCTTTTTGACTTAAGAAGCATAAGAAGCATCCCACTAAGAAAATGGGCATGCATACTCTTCTCCAAGGAGCTATCTAAGAATAAGTAAATAAGGGAGAAATGAACCCAAATTAAAATGATTCTCTGTTCATAGTAGAGAAGACATGCTTTAAAAATTTTGACATTTTTCATTTTCTATATATGTGCTGACTTAATGCTAGTATGAGTTACTACAACTAAGTGAAAGAAGGAACTGCTCCTAGACACATTCTGTAAAAGGGTGTATGTTCCATTTTCATCATTTTATTGCCAAACCTGAGAGTGAAGGATCCCAATAAGGGACACAAACCAAGGAAGAAAAACTAAATAAATATAAGGAAGAAAGTAACTTTTAGCTTTCACTCACAAAGCTCATTTCAAGTAGAATAAGAGTGGTGAGCCAACATAGGATTAAAACGAACATATTTTAAAAAAGGGATTTAAATGCCTTCAATGATTTGTGCTCATTAAGCATAAATCATGCATATTTAAAAGTATTATAACAGAGCCAAAGAATTTGACACAACTGAAAACTTTGTGAATTTTAATTTCATCCATGTAGGTAACAAGACTAATTAAAATGTACATTAAAATATTTTATATTATGATGCTTTTAATCACTTAATGATGTTTCTAGCTACATTGCCTCATAAGTTATAAACTTTTTTCAAGCAGAGAAAATGAACTTTAAAGAAATTAATAGAGCTATTATATATGTTCATTAACTTTCTAAAAACTCAATAAAGGATACACTTTAATTGGATTTTAAATTTACTTTCATAAATCAAATAAGATTAGAATACTACCTGTCCTTTAGACTTTGAGAAGTGTTAAAGTTTATGCATAATAGACTTTGTATAGACATAGCAATGGTAATATTTAATTCTTCAATGCAGGTTCCAGAAAATACCTATATTTCATCAATTATTTTACCATGTTCAGTGGGAATATATTTGACAACCCATAATATTAAAATCTTGGATGTTATGAATTAATTTTACCAGTTCCTGATGGGCTTTCCAATCTGATTTTCTGGTTAGGTGGTTATTTGTTTAGAACATGTTTTCAGTTGCTCTGATATAAAACCTTTGATGTTTTCTGAGGTAATGGCTACTTGATGTTCTGCCCCCACGAATTTCATGAGTATCCTTCCCAAAACTAAATACTGCTAATAACCTACTGCGGTGGGCAGTCCTTGAAAAATCTGATACTTCCAATAATGATGTAGGATACTTCCTCACAAAATTTCAAGTGTAGAAATTAAAATCTACTGTGAATGTGATAGATGTGAATATACTAAACTTATTATATAAGTTTACTTATGAATAAATTTATTTCTCCAAACTGAAACCAAATGAAATAACAAAGTGGTTAATTAAACAGATAGCATTGTGCCTAGGTTTGAATATTTAATGTGTGATTTTTTTTGCATGATGCATGCCTTAATTTATATACTAAAGTTTATTTAAGGAATTACAATCATGACTATCACTATGCTGCTTAAATTTTAATTCTCATTGTATTTGCTACTTAATCTGGTCATCCCTGATGGTGGTCGATACTACAAACAGTGTTGTAACATTTCAGAATGCATTGACAGAAGTTCATCACATCACAAATTACACAGCAAAGATAACTTTAAAATATACTTATGAGGTGGAGGGGTCCAGATTTAAATTTCTAGTTTAATGAGTAAATGGAAATCTAGCTTACCCAATAAATGCATGTATTTATTGTTTCTTAGTAAAGAAGCAATAAATATTGGTTCTTAGTAAAGAAAATAGGTATTTATACAACACAATATTGATTCTGGTCCAGGTATAGGATATTTTTCAGGCTAATCTGTCTAATTTTTTTCCTCCTTTAACACAAAATCACACTTCAAATTGTTAGGAAAGTCAAATGATATCCTATCATATAAAAGGCTTTGGAAATATCTTTTTTTTCTTTTTGTGTCACACCTGGCGATGCACAGGGGTTACTCCTGAATCTGAACTCAGGAATTACTCCTGACGGTGCTCAGGGGACCATATGAGATGCTGGGAATCGAATCCGGGTCAGCCACGTGCAAGGCAAATGCCCTACCCACTGTGCTATTGCTCCAGCCCAGGCTTTGGAAATATTTTAACCCCTTTTAGTATACTAAATGTTAGTCATAGTGAATGGGCTATATTTCATATTTTATTCTTTCATTTTCCAAACAATACTTGTGCTTTTTTAATACTAGCTTTGCAAGAAAAGAAAACTAAGCATAAATAAGGTTCTGAGCATATTTAAACACTATTCACAATGAATCGATTATCCAAGCCTTATCCATGATGAAACAATTAGTAAGTGGGAGAAAGAATTAGGATTAATCATATCAGGATAAGCCAGCGTCAGCTGTGTTAACTATAACCTAAAGTGATTGAATTAATTATAAAAAATGGGTATAAAGCATAAAATTGACAAAGCAAAGGGTAAAATTGTACCCTTAAAATACATACAGTATTGCAAACTAAAGCTGTATCGATAAACTTCCTCATCACAACAAATTAATTAAACATGTAAAATGATGATAAAATATTGTGGTCATTATTTTGCAATATGTAAACGAAATCAACATATTTTATAATTTGAACTTACGTATGCCACTTATATTTCAATAAAGCCAGAAGAAAAAATGACATCAGTATATATTTAATGCTCTTAAATGTAGTGACTATTTTTTTCATTTTTATATATTTATTCATTTATTTAATTTTTTTCACATTCGCAGCTGTGCTTAACCCCGGTCCCATGCCCAGGGGTGCTCAGAGGAATTGTTTGTGGTGCCAGGGATCAAACCTAGGTCAGCTGTGTGCAAGGGAAAGACCACCCCACCTGTGTTATCACTCTGGCCCAAATAATAAAAATTAGTTTTAAAAGCAAATATAATGTCAACCAATTGTAATATTAATCCATGAGTGTTGTGAATATCAAAATTAAAACATTTGAGATTCAGGAAGCAGATGCAAGCTTTCTCATTCAAACACCTAGGTTGTGAAAGAAATGAATAGTGGAATGGAGTAGGAAAATATTAAAGGACAGTCCAAACTCACCAACATTACATTTTCAAATTATAAAAATTTAAGGTCTTTGTAAAATAAAATGAAGTTTGGAATGAGGTAAATATGCTTACCAATCAATAATAAATAGCACTTTTTAATTTTAAAGATAATAAAAATCTTTCCATGACAAGGAGATCACAAAGTGACAGTGCCAAATTTAGCCTCTCAACATTTTAGTACTGCAAATAAACCCTCTGGCAAGACAACTTCAGAACTTGTTTCA